AAAATAAAAATTCGCCGAAATTAGCACGTTTTAAAAAATGTAATATTTTGAAAATCAGGGGGTACCTCGGTTCACACTAAAAATTCATCTATATCTACACTTTTCCTACCGGTGTCGGGTGAGATCTAGCTTCAAAAATGATTGAATGACAACTCCCTATCATCTGTTGACCTACATATGCCGTTTTAAACAAGCAGTGAACCGAAACGTCCTCGATTCTGCACCTGTTTATCGAAAGCAACGGAAGTGGTTATTTCGTCTATGTAAAATGTAGAGGCGTCCCGGAAATACATGGAAAATCTAGAGAGGTCAGAAATCGCGCCAAACTTGTTTTCTCTAGATTTTCCGTGTAATTCCGGGACACCTCTACATTTTTCATCGTTAGAAATCGGCACTTACGTTGCTTTCGATGTCTGTACATGGTAAAGAGGACGTTTTGTCTTTGCTGCATGTTTTATACGGCAAGTTCAAATTGGCAGATATTCAATCATTTTAGAAGCTAGATCTCGTCCGACACCGGTAGGGAAAATGTAGATATTGATTAAAATCAAGTGTGAACCGAGGTACCCCCTGATTTTCAAGATGGCGAGTGACGCTCCTTTTCTCTTTTTATACACAGTAAATATGACATTTTTTAAAACGTGCTAATTTCGGCGAATTTTTAGTTTGATTTTATTGAGGGTATTTAGGCACATATAGAAAAACACATAATACACAAAATACACCATCATGTAACCAAGCGCCTATGAATCAAATGACCTAAGTGCTTTGTATAATTATATATCTTCAGTTAATACCGTCACCTGCCTTGTGCCATCTGATAATTGCCTCACTATACTCGTAAAACTGACTATATAAGTCAACATCTATCTGCCTGGCGCCTCTTGATTTAGCCTTTAACACCTGCCTGGTGTATTACTGCTTACCAAGTTGCCTATAGCCAAATGGCTACAATATACATACACAGTATGATTTAACTTTGTAAGAGCTTCTCTGTCCTAATGACAATCCTATAGCTAATGTTACGCAACTATGTTTTAACTATTCACTAACTACAGCAACTTTACACAATCCGATTTGATCGTTACACCGATTGGATTCTGTACCAAAGTGAAGACACAAGCCAGCTGGCCGCACTGCCCCCTTGTACCTCAACTTAATCAATGATCATAAGTTATCAGATATCATATTGATAAAATACAACAGACTGCCTTTCTTTTGGCAACACTATTATTATTTTCTAACAGAACATCATTTATCAATAATACTTGTATAATTCTTTTGTCAGTTGACCAATAAATTACAATATTTTTATTGATTAGCTATTATAATATAAACAAGTAACGGGACGTAACTCCTCGAACCATTTCACTACTACGTGAAAGTCCAAGTAGTTTTTCACATTTCATGTATCCTTATGTCAGAATGGTTTAATCAAACGCTCAGCTGCCTCCATAAACCCCTACTCGCGAAATGGCGGAGTTGACAGAGACAGCCGCCATCTTGGGCCCGCTTCAGATTTTCAAATATTAATATCTAGAGTTCAGATTAACCAATATTCAAACAACTTATATAGTAAGCATCAACAGAAGGGTCACTATTTATATTCCAAAAATAAATAAAAAAATTTGGAAAACAAAAAAGTTAGAAAATACGCTTTTTTCAATTTGCATCTCCTAATGACAGGAAGTATTGACGACGAACGAAAGGTTGCGTCCTGGTTAGTATCTTTTACGATCTATAATCCCTGAAAGTTTCATCTTGATATCTTTTACCGTTCTTGAGATAATCCGAAGACAAAATGTCATTTTAAAATCAGGAAATGTCCCGTAACTTGGCACCGGAAGCGAATTTCCAAAAAATCTCTCGGATAAAATAACTTAAGATAATAACACATTGTTTCCATAAATTTCATGAAAATCCACCCAATAGTCTTCGAGAAATCGCGTGCACAATATTAGATGGGCGGAAAAATAATAATAATAATAAGAAACAGTAGAATCACTATAAGGTCTTCCGTGAAGACGGAAGACCTTAATAATAATAAGAAGAAGAAGAAGAAACAGTAGAATCACTATAAGGTCTTCCGTGAAGACGGAAGACCTTAATAAGAAACAGAAGAATCACTATAAGGTCTTCCGTGAAGACGGAAGACCTTAAAAATAAATGTAACAACAGTGATTGAAAAAGACCCAAAAACCGGCGTTAAGTGCAGTCATCCTTTCGAGATTGTGACTTAGATTTTGTATCATCGCATTATCACTTAGGTATTCTCTTTTCAAACGACCTCACTTGGTCAGCGTACATTGATTCTATTGTGGCCAATGCATATAAAACATTAGGTCTACTTAAAAAACTGCAATTCAGGGTCAGTGCGAAAACTTTATCTCTTTTATATACTACTTTTATAAGACCTCAGTTAGAATACGCAACTGAAGTTTGGTGTGGGTGTTCTAGTCAAGATTCCGAAAAATTAGAAAAATTACAACTTGCAGCGGCAAGAATAGTCACTGGTTTAACTTCATTAGCATCGCGAGATTCTCCCTATTTTGAAACTGGTTGGGAACCACTTGCTGTAAGACGAATGTCCAAATTAAGAACAACTATACATGTATAAAATATATTATAACATAGTACCCGAGTATCTGAAAGAAATATTTCAAAATATCCGATCACACGAATCAAATTACGTTATGTATTGTAGACACTCATGTTCTGTTATGGGGAGATAATTCGATCAGTATTTCTGAAAATATAATGAAAGTTTATATTTGAATGTGCAATTGTTTATCAAGAGATCTGGTCGTTTTTGAGCATTTTGATTCGTTCGTACATACTACATCAATTTAAATTCTGTACATGCATTACCTATGTTAAACAATCTTATTGACCTTTGGTTCCAGTGTAAATTAATTTTTTTGAACAATATTTTGTGTAATTAATTGTTATAAAGGGGAGGACGTTCTAAGTATTAAGTACTTGTGTCCAATCCTTTTGTTGTAACATCTTAACAATAAAATATGTTCAAACCAATGAGGGGGAAGAGGCGAAATACGAACTCCATGACCGGAATCTTCATTGTAGACTTTGAATAGTCAACATCCACTCCTCCTAACGAATGAAATAAAATAACCTTTACATTACATCACTATACAATAAATTCAAACTTTAACATACAAGAAAGACGCTGTTCTTTATAATGAAAAGAAATTCAGTAAAATTTAACATATCGATGAAGAAAAATATATGTATAAACTTATATAAAATTCAATTTGATATTTGCAGAGTAATTCCCTCATTTTTATGCTTCATTCGTACTTTTTTGGAAATATTTAATTGTGGTAGTTCTAATATAAACAATTGTTACCTGAAATCCCTTTTATATATCTTGCAGATAACCCCTTATTATATATATATTATCTGTAAATAATACCAAGTTTTAACCTTCTGTCATGATGATTAAAGATAGTAAGAACAGAGATATGAATTACACGTTATTAATGTCCCTGGTAAGAGTTTTCTATTAAAGTTTTAATACCTATTGGACAATTAGATATATTGAATTTAAACCATGATAACACTTATCATTTTTTTTAATCTGCTTTACAAACTAAAAAGTACATTTAATGAAAAAAAAATCAAAATAAAAGGTTTGTTTGAGTGATACAATGGACTCATAAAGTCAGAAGCATGATAATTTAAAATTTTATTTTCAACAATAATACTGATAAATCTTAATTTACAACATTAAATTAATTTATGTAAAACATCTGACATGGCAAGAAGAACAACTCCGATTTTTCTCTTCGCCAGTTTACATTCCTGTAATCTGATAATCTCTTATCAGCAACTGACCAGATTCAGCTAATTTTGCGCACGCCTTCATTCTTCCAGCGTGCATTGCTTTGTCAACATACATTCGCCAGTCATCTTGATTTGTTTTTGTTGTGAGCCATTCAATCACTTGTTATCGCAGGTACATAAGTCTACTCTGTTAGAAGAATTTCTAATTCAATTTATTGTTGGATTATCCTTTATATAGGTACATTGGTGAGATTCTTTGGATGCTAAAAATTTTGTGTATGCTTTACAATATTTGACGGATTTTGTGTTTGACTGGCGAAATACGTTAATACAATGCTATGGAGACCCTGTTTCATGCGCTCATCATCGTAATTACAACTTAGCAGGAGTAAATGGAATGTGGTGAACGTTAACGTATGTTGACTTGAATTTCTTTGTTCTGCTTCGCTCCAGTTTGCCGGTCTTGGAACCATGAATGACCTAGTGAACTTTGTGGCTATTTATATATTGCCCAGCATCCAAGATGCATTGCGGTAAACAGTCAAAATGGCGTCTGTTTTGATTGCTGGAAGTTCACATGTTAAACGATTTGAGCACTATGTAAATCAAAATCGAGAATTTCAGAACTTGAATTTAAATCCAAACACTTTTGTAACATTTTATGGTATAAGTGGAGGAAAGCTGACAAATAATTCCCACTTGCAGGCGTTAGAACAAAACTTAGGCACGTTTCTCCGGACTTTCTCATCTTACATTTAGGTGGTAACGATCTGGACACAACTTCGGCTGATGAAACATACGCTTATGAGTTATGTTTACGACTTTGTTGTATTGCGGAAACATTTGCCCGTCGTTTCAACATTAAAAAGACAATTGTTTGCCAACTGATGCCGAGATATCGGACACGGGTATTAGATATAAATAGTTATAATGAACTAGTAATTAAATTCAATAGAATACTGAAGAGAGAGCTGTTAGGAAAAAACTGTTTGCAGTACTGGAATATAAAAGGTGTTAAAAACAGCCAGCGTCCAGTATTTTGCGATGGAGTCCATCTGAACAACGAATGGGGCATGCGAATTTACTACAGAAACTTGCGTGGTGCAATTATCCAATGTTTAAAATAAGATTGGTAGCAGGGACATCTACATCGTATGGTCCGTCAACATAAGCAGCACATTTTCATTCAGGTTCACTTGCAACTAAGAAAGATAAGTCTGTTCAACATCTGCACGATCTCAAGCAAATTATGCATTATAATATGTAATGAGTAGTCTTATTTATACGGTTAGTGGACAATGGTTTACAATTATGAATGGTAATCAGTATGTCTGCGTTTTATTACTGCATATTGTATTTGAGATCTCAATTATATGAAATGTCATAAACATAGATATAGAATACGCTACTTAAACTGTGTACAGTACAAGTGGTAACATTTTATGTTGGTATCAGATACACTGTGAGCTGGCACAGTTGTAAACGTACATTCCCGAAAGTATGAGTTTGCACAGTGAGCTGGCACTAATGCATCTCATATATATGTTGATACACGTACGGTTTAGAATGTGCTATGGCACATACTTTATGAATTTGTATGTACGCACGTGTATTATGTTTCTATGTTCGGGCACTATGATAATGTACGATATGTTCTGATACAAATATGATTTGTGTGCAAACACTTTCAGTTACTCACTTGTGCATAGGCGTACATTAAGTAGTTATGATGTCTTCTTTTATTCAACGAATTCAATTGAGTATGAACGCTTTCAACTATGGCTATGATATGAGCATGATGAGCATAGACATGTATGTTGGACTCAATCATTTTTGTCAGGCATTTTTTTTAAAGCCATGTTTACACGAGCGCTTGGTACATCTTCATTGTGCCAGGGCAAGCGGATCTGTAATCAGGCGAAGATTCCTGACGGGAAGTTGGTTTGAGTTTACAACAAGCATGTGATTTGTATGATATCACTTAAGTTTCGTATTTTATTCAAGGTAGGAACATGCCACCTAAGAGAAAAAGGAGTCGGGTGACAAAAGCTGCGGAGCCAACCGAGTCTCAACCAAAACGCAGCGCACCGTCTAAAGACCTGGAAATCGTGGATACAATCCAAAACGCAATACAAGCAGCCATTCCTGGTATTACGAAGGCGGTAATGGATGAGATATCCAAACAAAAGACTAGTACTGACACCGCTATAATGCCAAGTCCTTCAGCGCCTGAGGGGGAAGCGGCCAATGACAGCGCTGTGGAGCCTACGGTTAATCTGGGTATTTCTAACACTTTCCTTGAAGCCCCAGAAAGTATTTCAAAGCCTCTAGCCTTAGGCATTGATTCTAAAATTAAATAAAAAATATGGGCAAACGAGTTCGTCGATTTTGGCACTTTATTAAAGCCAACTGAAAAACAAGTAAAATTTTCCATCGAAGAAGGTGATGATGGCTTAACATTTGTAAAGGAAAAATCCACCCCTCTTAAGATTGAATCCATTCCTCAATGGATGAAAGCTTTTCATATATTCGTTAGTATATTTTGCGAGAGGCACACAAATGATGCCACAAAATTGATGAAATATGCGTCTATTGTTCAAAAACTTGCTGACCAGTCTACTGCATCAGCAGCCATTCAGTATGACAAAACTTTTCGTCAATGGAGAGAAATATCTCCAACCAAACTTCCATGGGACCAATTAAACGCCGAATTGTACCAAGAGGCATTGGCATCCGGTATTCAGTCAAAGTTAAAGGGAGTAACACAAAAACCTACTTTTCGTCCCTTACAGGGTACCAAGGGGAGGGCAGGGAATAATAAACTCGTATGCTACAACTTTAATAATTCCGAACAGGGAATTTGTCATAGAAAAGATTGCAGATTCTCCCACACATGGCAACGCTTTGGTGGGGAACACAGTAGAAAAACTTGCCCATCAACCCCAAAACTCCCCAATGTAGCAAACAAAAATAAGCAAAAATCTATCCCCCAAATCGGATCATCAGAAAGTAAACAGTCAACCCTTAAACTTACAAAATAATCCTTTTGATATAGTAACTCCCGTGAATCCTCAACGGTTACAACATTGGCTATCAGATTACAATGTGAGTGACAAAAAATTTTTAGTTGATGGCTTTACAGAGGGTTTTAAAATTCCTTTTCAGGGTGTTCGTGAGCAGAGGTTTTGTAACAACTTAAAATTAGCTGATCAAAATTTATCTATCCTTCAAGAAAAAATAAATAATGAAGTACGTTGTGGTCGAGCAGCGGGACCTTTCAAAAATGCTCCATTCAACAATTTTCAGTGTTCACCATTAGGTTAAGTGCCCAAAAAACAAGAAGGGGAATTTAGAGTAATACATCATTTATCTTATCCCGAGGGACAATCTATAAATGATGGGATTCCGCAGGATATTTGCTCGGTTCAATATCAAACCATCGATGACGCGACTAATTTATTAAAACAACTTGGAAGGGGGATCTTGTTTGCAAAGACAGATATTGAAAATGCTTTTAAAATCATTCCAGTCCATCCATCAGATCGCGAATTGTTGGGTTTTAGAGTAGGAGGTGGGTTTTATTTCGACAAAACCTTACCAATGGGCCTAAGTTACTCCTGTAACTTATTTGAAAGATTTAGTTCTTCATTGCATTGGGTAATGGAATACCACTACCAATCAAGCTGTGTTCATGTTTTGGACGACTTTCTTTTTATGGGACCAGCCCATTCAAACAATTGTTTGAAATCTTTAGAGAACTTCCTTCAATTATGTAATGACATAGGTATCCCAATTAAGAACGAAAAAACAGTGTATCTCACAACGACAATAACATTTTTAGGTCTAGAAGTCGATTCACTAACTATGGAAGTTAGGTTGCCAAGGGATAAGCTTGATAAGCTAAGAGATGCAATAGATTCGTTTAAGCACAGAAAAAAAGTAAGTCTAAAAGAATTACAATCTTTGATTGGGTTACTTAACTTTGCTTGCGCGGCTGTCCGACCAGGTCGCACTTTCCTACGACGGCTAATCGACCTCACAAAAGGCTTAAAGCTACCCCATTTCAAACGGCGTTTGAACACAGAGGCTAGGGCTGATCTTGAAGCTTGGTCTGTTTTCATCAATAGTTTTAATGGTAGGTCATTGATATTAGATGATAGGTGGGAAACCTCTGAAACACTATGTATGTATACGGATGCAAGTGACCTAGGATTTGGGGGTACATTTAAAACAAAGTGGTTCTTCGGAGAATGGCCACAAGAGTGGGGCCAGTTTCACATTACAGTCAGAGAATTGCTTCCTATTGTGATAACTTTAGAACTATGGGCATCTGATTTACGGAACTCCTGTATTAATTTCTATTCAGATAACATTGCAGTGGTATACATCATTAACAAACAAACTTCAGCAGACCCAATAATTATGAAGTTAATGCGTCGTTTCATAGTAAATACATTAAAATACAATATTCTTTTCAAAGCAACACATATTCCAGGTGTACTTAATGTAGCTGCTGATCGCCTTTCTCGCTTGCAGGTCCGGGAATTTCAGGACCTATGTACAAATATGGACCCAGTGCCATCAGCAGTTCACCCAACAATGCTAACACTCTAAAAGATATAGCGACAGCCATTCTGAAGAATTCCCTCGCTCCTACATCAAGGGCAGCTTATGAAAAAACATTTGCTTTTTACGCTGACTTTATGTCAACCTACTTTCCTAATATCTCTTTACTGCCTCCTACTACTGAGCATTTGGCGCATTTTATAGCTTTTTGTTTTCAAAGTAACATCGCAGCATCAACCTTGAAAACTTACATTTCGGCTCTGAGTTATAATTTCAAAATTCAAGGTTTTGAAGATCCATCACAACAATTTGTAATTCGCAAAATGCTACAGGGATATCAAAAGTTAAAAACAGTAGGAAGTGACACAAGATTGCCCATAACAACGTCAATTCTGAAACAGCTTGTAACTTCTTTAGACAAGTTAGGCATTTCAGCCTATTTATGCAGTATGCTAAAGGCAATGTATTTGCTGGCTTTTCATGCTTTTTTAAGGGTTGGTGAAATAACAGTTTCGTCTTCTACGAACGTTAAAAACGTATTAAATCTGGTCAATGTAAAACTCGTTTCGGATAAACTAAATTCCAGTGAATCTCTTGAGATTACAATGGATAATTTCAAACATAGTGCAGGCAAACATATACCCACGTTGATTCTACAAAGAAACGAATCGGAAGAGCAATTTTGTCCTGTTCAGGCTATTCAGCTATTTCTTAAAGTTAGAGGCCAGTCACCAGGCCCTTTGTTTGCATATCCAAATGGTGATGGGTTACTAAGACAACATTTTACAAATTATTTGCAAATGTCTCTTAAATGGGCAGGGCTAAATACGAGTCATTATAAAGGCCACAGTTTTCGAATAGGAGCTGCGACATGCGCTGCAGCAATGGGAATTTCAGAGGAAAAAATCAAACGAATGGGAAGATGGCATTCCGACGCTTTTAAAAAGTACATAAGAATCCCTGTGCTTCATATTTAGATGAATTTGATCATGGGGTCATGAGTCTCTGATCAAATAGTATAAATTAGTATTTCACCCCTTTTATTTCTTCGCGAAAGCATAGGTGAGGGTCAGCAGGTTTTTGAACAGTAGTTTTCCTTTCGGTTAATCTGTATATATGTTGCCGTAGGTAATGACTTTCAGACTTTTGAAATTTAACATTGGGTCATGGGGACATGGGCCTCTGATTCCACAATTGCTAGTGAACTATGGATGAGAGTTTGTTGTCATTTGAAATTTGACACTGGGTCATGGGGACACGGGCCTCTGATTCCACAATTGCTAGTGAACTATGGGTGAGAGTTTGTTGTCATTTGAAATTTGACACTGGGTCATGGGGACACGGGCCTCTGATTCCACAATTGCTAGTGATCTATGGCTGAGAATGTGTTGTCACTTGAAATTAGACACTGGGTCATGGGGACATGGGCCTCTTGACTTCATAACGGGTAATGTAGCCTTGCATGAAAGCATTTTGTTACTTATTGCTGCATGAATGATATGAACAGTTTCTTCACGAGGACAAGGGCCTCTGACAATTCTTAAAAGGAAAATACTGACCATTACTTGTACATCATTTAAGCACTTTTGTATAACACAAATGTAATTCGTATTCTTTATGTGAATGTTAACATATCTCATATTCATTGAAGACAATAGTTTTGGGTGGGGTTTATTGTATTCATTGTTTCACCATGAACACAATAAGGTGGCGATTTTTTATGCCCCACCTATAATAATTGGCTTAACAAAATGTATTTGTTAATTTTATGCACATATTTTTTATGATTGTGTAATGTTTGTCAATTTGTTTAATTAGTATTTTTGCATGATTTGTCTCGTCATTTATTAGATCAAAATAAATGACAATTTTCAATTCAAACTCTCTTCATTTTGTTTTTACAATATCAAACGAAGCAAAACTATTGTCAGTGTATTTGCATAAAATCTTAATTTACAACATTAAATTAATTTATGTAAAACATCTGACATGGCAAGAAGAACAACTCCGATTTTTCTCTTCGCCGGTTTACATTCCTGTAATCTGATAATCTCTTATCAGCAACTGACCAGATTCAGCTAATTTTGCGCACGCCTTCATTCTTCCAGCGTGCATTGCTTTGTCAACATACATTCGCCAGTCATCTTGATTTGTTTTTCCCACCGTCCCACCCAAATGCTTTTTATTTTTATCTTCTTGCCATGTTTGATGAGAGAAATAAATTGAACGATTAAAATCAGTTTGTTCTTGGTATAGTAAAACTGTATGGGCGATTTTTTATGCCCCACCTATGATAATTGGCTTAACAAAATGTATTTGTTAATTTTATGCACAGGTTTTTTATGATTGTGTAATGTTTGTCAATTTGTTTAATTAGTATTTTTGCATGATTTGTCTCGTCATTTATTAGATCAAAATAAATGACAATTTTCAATTCAAACTCTCTTCATTTTGTTTTTACAATATCAAACGAAGCAAAACTATTGTCAGTGTATTTGCATAAAGTTATTTTTATCACTATGAGTTACCCTTCTTTGCATGGAACAGCTTAAATGAAAATTTGTTTAAGTGTTTTGTCCTTGTACACCTAGACAAAACGTGTTTGATTTATATTATGTGTTTATTGTAACGCTTGTGTAATCTAGCAAAAGGCGTTTAAGGTGTTTAGAAAAGTGGGAAAAATTGTTGAATAAAGGCTTGACCCAAAGGAAAATAACACCTGAAAGTGATAGGTACATGTAAATGTTATTTAACTACTCCTCCTTACGTATCCCCCACTGGTGTCTATGCAACGCATCTTGTGCATTTCAGCCATCGATTTTCAAAGTGGAGGGCCAACCAGGGAAAATTTTCTTTTACTCACCTGAAAATGTTGACAAGCAAAAAAAAGTTGGAAGGGGGTGGGGGGAGGGTAGAGGCCAACTTTCCAATGCCAACTTTTTATACTACATTTCCATCAACACAAAAAGTTGGGAGCGGGGGAGGCAACCAACCTTTCAATGAACGTTTCCTAAAGTATTAGTATGGTTGTGAAAAAAATGCGGGGGGCAGGCCCCTCTGTAACCCCCCCCCCCCCCGTTGCTGCGTGCCTGCATTTCTTACATGTACATTATTGAATGCTAAAGGAATTTGTGTATAAAACGAGAAACCATGATGATTAGGAGAAGACACTTAATGTAACTGGTTATGTATCAAAATGATGCAATTCCTCGTATTTTGTTCAACCTAAAAAGTATAAGCTTGTACAATTTTTTTTTATAAGTGATTACCTGATTTAATTCAAAGATGAGGTATTTGATTCCGATTCTTGTATCCATCATAACTATCGGTACAGGAACTTTTTTATGCGTCCGGATTGATAACTCTACATTGTTTTTGTCCTGTCTTTCTGTCTGTCTGTTTGTCCAGCCGTTTGTCTGTCTGCAAACTTCAACTTTCGCCTTAATCTTTGAACCATGAAAGATAGATATTTCATATTTGGAATGCATACTCAACGAATAAAGTTTTTTTTCAAATGACACAAAGGTCAATGTGACCTTGACTGTGACCTATATGCTAAAAATAGCTTTTTTTCCCTGCAAAACTTAACCTTCGCCGTAACGTTGAGCTAATAAAGAAAGAGACTTCACAGTTGGTATGCTTACTCTACTAATTAAGGTCTTTCTAATAATACCAAGGTCAATGACCTTGTGACCTTGACTGTTACCTATATGCTAAAAATAGCTTTTTTCGAACTTTGTTGAGGCCAGGTGCATAGTGCTTCGCAAACACATCTTGTTACATGTATATGCTTATCATTACACAGTCAACAGAAACTGTATCAGAAGATTAATTCATTGTGCGAATAATTCAGTTTTTTCGGGGAAAAAATCTTATTCATTCGTTGATCTCTTAAAAAAGAGGTTGTTTGGTTGCCCTCTCTTGGCCAACTGACTAAAAATTAGGCTGGTCCCCTGGCACGAAATTCACTTTACACTTGGTGAATTCCAATAAAAACAAACAACCACTGTAAAAATATAAGGACATTTATTTCATTTTATAAACTTCATTTTACTAGTCATTTTTGTTACAACAACAAGCAACATGATGTTGGATAAACTATAGAAGACCGGATGTAGAGTTTTAGATCATTTCATACTATTATAATAGGTACTTTACGGATTATTTTTGTAAAACTACTTTAATGTCTGGTTTTCATACCGATTGAAAGATATCTTAAATAAAAAAATAAAACGTATTCAAATAAGGCAGGATAAAATTAATTCTACTTTGAACCATAACCAAAGAAAAGAGAGGAAAATGTACAAACAATTCATTCTAATGAGTATTCCTTCATTTGCATGAATCTTAATGCTTTGATATTTGTTTATTATGTAAGAGTATCGGTCTTTGGTCATATTTCGTAAATCTGTCAGTTAGAAATATAATTTAACTCATTCCAAAATACACTTCATAGAGAGCCAATATAATGTAGAACGCATAAAGATTCTAGTTGTTGAAAGTAAAGGCAAAGCAGAGTTACAGATATTTTAAATGCTAATGCATTTTGTTTAATGATTTCAATTTCTTGAAAACTACAGATGCAGTACTTAGGCGCGCTAATGGCTAATGACATAAAATTAAGTTTTCATAGAGAAGGATATGGAGATAATGAACGGTATTCAATCTCAAAGTTCGTGAAACAAAAACAAAATAAGAGCAGAGCAAACGCGGACCTAGAAAACATCGGAGGTGGGAGAGCAGGTGCCATGGAGGAGTGAGCATCCTCTGCCGACCGGTCACACCCGGTACTAGGTAATATCCAGGTGATAAGTTAGAAAGAAGAAAAACCAAAAAATATAATTATATATTAATCATTTAGGAAGAAATATAATAATGTTATATTAATAATACAACATGACATTCTAAAAATAAAAATCATTTAAAATACGTTTACAACATATACATGTATTGTACATATACGACCATGTATCTACATACATTGTAAAAATTTATGTAAATTGATGATTTCCAATGAAAATAACTTCATTAACAAATAACTGTACACTGTACATGCTCATATGACATTGTAAAGAATATAAATATAACAATATATTTACAATACCATCTCAACAAAAAATAATTATAACAATTGCCTTCCTATACAAGAGATAATTCTGATAAAATTATATACAAACATTGGATTTCACTTAAATTATAACATCTAGGTAAATAGTCTGTGCGCTTGAACTTTGCAGATAAATTAACCAGCTAAAAATAAGTGTTCATCAGCAAGACTAAGATCGAGTTAATGATATAGGTTCGAGTTCACTAGCTAAGGGCTCGAGATCACGAGTTATAGGTTCGAGTGCACTGGTTAGCGGCTCGAGTTCACGAGTTATAGGTTCGAGTTCACTGGTTAGCGGCTCGAGTTCACGAGTTATAGGTTCGAGTTCACTGGCTAGGGCCTCGAGTTCAGACTTAAATTATAGACTTTAGTTAGCCAGCTGGGGACTTAAGTTCAGACAGGTCGACTAAACTAATTTCAACTGAAGTTAAAACCTACAGACTCAAGTTTAAAAAATCGTGGAGTCGAGTAGTTAATACTTGAGTTCTATAGTATAACAATGATAGTGCGTTCCACACAGTTATTGTTCTAGGCACAGTTCTTTACCTGTAGAACTCGAGTCATTCTAGCTCTTTATGCTCGACTTAATTTACCGCAGGATTGGGTTCAAACACCTACCATTCGAGGTAGATGCAATCTCACCGGCTAAAAATGGAGTTTTTTGTCTCTAAGCTCACATTAACGACTCCAAGTTCAAGTTAAACGTTCTCCCTGTGAGCAAAAGTCATTCACTAAGTTTGTTTCTTTTTAACTCTACAACTTTAGAAGAGCATTTGGGTGAAAAACTACCTTGAATATCAGCGCACATCTCTGTCACATCCCGTAGAAGAGTTCCATTTAAATTGAGTACAACTATCGACAAACGTTTAAATGAAGCGTCTTTTCGCATGTTTTACACTTGACGTAACAACACCAGTAATATTTACATTCACAGCGTTCAACTATTGTTTTGGTGAAGCTTCGGTAGCCCCGCCCACAACACATTGCGTCACATCCGCCCCAACCGGAACTGTCAGTCCTACAAAACCTACAACAAAAGGATAAAATTAAAAATCAAACAATTATACATGTATGTCTTTTTTGAATTTCTTACCACTTATTTGTAACTTCCTGGTTTCTTTTAAGGATGTATACACTTAATTTAATTAAAAGTAAAATATTTTAGTTTTTTGTTTAAAGGGGAATAAACGTTGCAGCTAATGCAGGAATGGAACATAACCCGTGTTATAGTTTCAGTGATTAATTCCCGTACTAACGCTCAGAGAAAGAGCTCTTAGTGTTTTTAGCAATTATATCTGTACAAATAATTATCTAATATAAGATAAAGTACCTAACTCAAACATTGTATTTATCGGTACACGCCTTGCACGTTTAATTGATGGAATAGCCACTGCTATGAAATTTTAGCAGGTGATTTGGTTATTGGTGTTTACCGACTGATAAACGACAGTTGGTTTTTCTTGAGAAATAGAGGAGAAAAAAAATATTCACTCCATGTAAATATCCATGTTTAATTAAGCGAAAGTCTCTACGTGACTTTACTTCATGTCACTTATGAGAAGTTTTTATTTTTCGCGTATTTGATGAATATGACGCGTGAGATTCATTTGATAGAAGAAAACATTTACTTTTATAATTAATCAATACACTGCATTCTAATATTTATATAGCTACCCTTGATGCCTGCTTCGTAGATGACCCTTCCTATATTACACGTATATATTCCATCTAGTACGAAAAACAGTTCAGAAGTTATCTCTCTTTGATTACATTCTCTCTACATGTAATACAAGACCAGAATCAGTCTAAACTTTAAATATGAGTAGACTTATTTTATTTTTCCTTCACGCTTGCTAACACCCTAATCAGAGTCCGTATGATTAATACATCACAACCGTATAGATTTACGAGGGGAAATTTTTATCACTTTAAAAAGAACGCGAGGGCTTCTCTGATGGTATCGCTGAGAATATTGTGAGCATGAACTCGGCTCTCTAGGGGCAAAGAGGTCATAAAGGTCGCTTCTGAGAACCGAATTCTCTAGAATAAGAAGATAAGAAAGGTCTCTTTATTCTTATTGTCAATTGTAATCATCATTAAATGTGTTTTAGACACAAAAGATTCGTCCAACTCTGGACAGAAGGCAAATTCAATTATTAGCCATCAGCGGAAGAGCAGTGCATTTATATGAAACAGAAACTGAGCATCAGCGAACCAGCAAATTACTAAAAACAAGACACACCGCATAATATCATGCATATCAAGAAAAGATCAAACATCATGTTTTTGTTAAATATATATGCATAAATTTCTTTTTCGTAACTCGATGCAAAAAATATAGAACTTATAAATAAAGTCAAATTGTATTGATTTTGTAAGATTTTTATAAAC